CAGTTTCTGAGGAATATGCATATCTGTCTGATTGGCTCCAAGTTATGTTATTCTTTGTTTCAGTTTATACTTAGCATTTCTGTTCTATATTTTCCTGCATTCAGGAGGGAAATTGCAATCCGACGAAAGATCAACTTGATCATGCATTCCTGTTGCAGTTGCTCTACTGGTTTAAGCAGTCATTCAGGTTCAAATGTATTCTTCATTATTGCGTACAACTTCATATCCGAAGTTCGCTAGAAGAAATAGTACTCTTGCCTCATTTGTACTTGCAGTAATTTGTATGGCTACTTCTCTTCTTGGCTGGGCTATATTACATTTACAGATTTCATCAAATCTCTTTTCTGTTATGGGATAATTTAGTACTGTAAGATATAATCCTGCAGTTTCCTTGTTAGTGAAGTGCAACTTCCTTGCACTTTCATTACACTTTCATTGCATTTTATTTGTAGCTTCCTTGCAGCTGCAAAGGACCTTCATAGCAGCCCCTTTAGGCTGAATTTTCAGCTTTAGTAATTTCTAGGAAAGTGTTGAATAGTAGCTTTTAGTTCCTATAAATAGGGATGTAGTTTTTCATTTGTAAATAAAACACAGAAAAGCTTAATACTCAATACATTGAGTTGTTCACAATCTTCTTCTTTCATCCTAAAAGTGTTCGTTTGTACCGGAAGCATTTTTTGCTTACCTGAGCAGTGAACGAGCAGGGACTAACAAGTACTTCAGCGTGTCAAAATAGCAAATATCTATTTATCGAGGGTGCTCACTCTCATCTTATAAATGCATATTTATAAGATGAAAAGCAAGATTAATATTTAACTGAGAGTGTTGATCCCTGGAGACTGGAACGTTCAGTGATATTTTGCCAAACAACTGAACAAGAAAGAGAGTTGACTTGCTTAGAACCATATACCTGGTTTAACAAAGGTTCAAGGAGGTTTAATGAGATGGAAAAGGGAATTTCTATGTAGTGAAGGGGAATTCTAATTTAATATATGAAGTATAGATGTGGTTC